TATTGTTAATAAGTAAGCGTAGGATAAGCGGCTTACCGGACTCCGCGACGGCTTAAAGCATATTAATACTCTTGCTATATTAATAGTGCGTATTAAGGTAAGAGCTAAGGACATAGACAGGAGAAGTTATAATAACTCCCTAGTCGATATCGCTATATATAGTAACAGCGATTAAAGCACTAATGCAGTTAATCCGGCTACTAGTGCTATTAGATACATACAATGCGTACCTCGTTTAACAGCGAGGGTACTGTTAAATAACCTTACAAATAGGGATAGTTAATCGTTTATAGATAAGCTATTACAGGCTTAGCAGAGGGACGCCTTTGCTGCTAAACGTATCGATAAGCTTATAAGTAGGCGAAAGACTCGACCTAGTAAGAGTAATAATTAGTCGATCGATAACAAAGGTTATTTAAAGTTCAAGGGCAGATACTATATCCCCGCTAAACATTCGATCCGATAAGAGCTTCTTAAGCGACACTATAATAGTAAGCTTGCTAGTTACTATAGTATAGAGAGGTCGTACGAGCTACTATCGCGTATATACTACTAGCTAAATAGTAAGCGGGACATAAAGGAATACGTTAACACGTATGCCGTATGTTAACGTATTAAGGTACTAAAACATTAGCCTTTTAGCGAGTTGTCCTTATTACTAATCCCTTACAAGCCATTTGTAGAGCTTATAATAGACTTTATTATAGGCCTTCTATCTACTAAACGTAGGGGCAGTAAGGACATCTTCGATGCTATCCTTGTTATAGTAGATCGGTTTACTAAAGGCGCTCGATACATCCCGGTACGGAAGGATTAGACTACTATTAATATAGTAGAGGCTCTATAGAGCAACATCTTCTATACCTATTAGGGAACCCCTAAGGGGATAGTCTCTAACCGGGGCACGACATTTATATCCTATTATTAGAGCGAGATATGCCTATAGCTAAGACTAAAGCATCGGCTATTAACAGCCTTCTATCTATAGACTAACGGTTAAACAGAGAGGCAGAATGCTACCCTATAGCAGTACCTACGCAGTTACATTAACGAGAACCCTAACGACTAGGTCAACCTCCTATAGCCTACAGAATTCGTATACAATAACAGTATACACTTATCTACTAAGGTTTCGCTATATATAGCTATAATAGGTCAGAACGCTGCTATACTATAAGACCCCCTATCGCTCGAGGCCGAGCGTAAGGAAAGGGAAGCGCGTTAAGTACCCGAAACACTAGCGGCTATTAAGAGGGTTTAAAAGATGCGAGAGATTCACGCCAAGTTAGCTAACAAACTAGCAAAGGCCTAGGCATATTAGAAGGCCTACTATAACAAACACTATACGCTAATAACTTTCAAGTAAGGCGATATAGTTATGCTAAGCACTAAGAACCTCCGTATCCGCAAACACCTATTACCTAACGGCAAAACAAGGCCTAAGCTCGCACTAAGATACATTAGTCTATTCCGTATTCGAGAAGTTAAGGGCTCCTCCGTACAGGCCTATTAGTTGTAGCTTCCTCCTTATTATACTATCTATAATACCTTCTATGTATCCCTCCTTAAGCTATATTACCTATGCGAGGGGGATGAAGCCCCTACTAAACACGAAGATATACTAGCGGATAGTAAAGAGCTATAGTCTGTAGAACGTATCCTAAAGCACCGGACTAGGCAAGGCAAGAAGGAGTACCTACTAAGATAGCAAGGCTATTTACTAGAATAGGACTTATAGGAAGCTAAAGACTCCTTTAAGGATATAACCGAGTTGTTAGATAAGTATTAGACTAGCGTAAAGAATAAGAAGAAGGCTAAAAGCTTATAATGTTACTACTAAGGCCTAGGATTAATGCTACCCCCGGGGTACTATTAGCTAACTAATTAGAAGCAAGCAATTGTTAGCAACAAAGGACAATAAGACTACACTACTATAGTAAACGCGTACCGAGTGTTAATAAGCGCGCTACGACCCGTCAACTAATTGCCTACTCTTTTAAGGATTCTACCTCTTTACTAACGCGCCCTATAGGTCCCCCTCTTATTCCCTTATTCTGTCGAGGCCTCGAGGCCTAGGCAATCGGCGCGGCCGGCGTAGCCGGCGCGGCTATATTAGTAACAGTGTTACGGGGTGTATTGCTATTTAAGAAAGGAAGGACACCGCTATATTAGTAACAGTGTTGCCGAGTTGTTGTTAGTTAAAGAAGGTAAAGTTAGCGCTAAGACGACTAGCGCTACTATTGTTAACATTACTTACTATTATCGCTACGCCTATAGACACAACCTTACCTATACTACGAGCCTAAGGCACCTTTAATCAAAACTTTGATTAAAGCTTTAAGCCTATTAAAGGTTTAATCAAAACTTTAAGGCTAAGTTAAAACTTTAACTAAGTTAAAAGATTAAGCGACTAATAGACTAACTAAGGGCAAAACTATAGAGCTAAGCTAGCCGGGGTCGATCTTGCGGACAATAGGTTACTCCTCGATCTATCTAACCCTTTAAGCGAGGCGAACCTCTACTACTATACTTATAATAGCCTTTATCTATAGAAACTAGACGAGCTGTGTTTTTTAAAAGATAAGATAAGATTAACAATTAAAGGCTACTAAACCTAACTAATTAGGGCTAGCGAAACTACGAACAATAATAGCCCTCGTAATAATAAGAACAATCCCTCGGAACGGATAACCCTCGGAAGCGGACATTTCTAGGTCTTTTAAGAGTAGACGTAGAGAACTCGGTACGACATTACTTAGAACGGGGGCAGTGCTGCAATACCCCGTATACCTACCTATTATAGTAGGGAAGGTACGCTCGTATTATAATTAGTCGATAGTCCTTAATTCTTATAGCTTTATATCCCTTCACTTTATTATATATAAGGATAGCGCAGTTAGAGTTGTATATTATGTTGTTTAGAGGTAAGGTTTGATATAGTTATATAATTAGGTAGTTAAGTGTTTAATTTAGCGCGGCTAAGCAGCTTATTAGACTTACTAAGTTAGCGGCAATAGAGGTCGGGATTAGAATATAGGTAGGCTACGAGGGCGCGGCCTTTAGAAGGGAAGCGTATATTAGGGCTAAAGAGGCTACACGTAATTAGTATATAACTAGGCCGAGTAAAGCTAGGGTCTCGATGCCTTAGGTAGGGCTTAGCGCTTAGCGTTAGGCTAACTCTCCTACCTTCCTCCCTCTCCTCCTAGATCCTTATCGAATACTAAACTAATTTACTACTACCCTATCTACCTGCTAACATAACCCTTCTTATATAGATAGCAACTAACAACACCTTAGAAGTCGCTATACTAGTCTAATTGCGACAACAATATAGCCTAATTAGGCAAACCGAGCTAATATACTAAAACCGAGCATTTCCGTAAGTTTAGTAGGTCCTATTATACGCCTAATAATCGGGCCATTTCCTAGCGGGAATAGTGGATACAGTCCCGTAGGAACCTAAAAGAATAGGACGCTAAAAGTCTGCTACAATCAAGGCTATCTCTATAGTGTCCCCGTTCTCTATGCACTCGTAGCAAAGCTTCTAGAAACAGAAACCGAAGGAGACTTAGGTTAGAATTTCCGTGTAACAATAGGCACATACAGACATGCACGTCGCCGCATAAGCTATGTAGTGCATGCTCCCGAACCTGTTCTATGCCTACCGACCTTATTTATATTGTTCCTCCGGATGTTGTGTTCTAGTTGTCTAACCGGGGAGCAGACCGTTCCTACAGAGATATAGAACTGAAAATACATCTAAGTGTATAGGCTACCTCTATTTAGGCTCGTAGGTATAAAGAATTGAGTTGCGTAAAGGTAAATAGGGATTATATTGCGACCGAGTGCACGTAATAGATTGTCGGTAAGTTCGGAAGCTACCTAATTCTTCGCCTACGAGCCTAATATAAACCCGTACGAAACCAGCCTGCTAAACACTAATATAACACTATAACGTATATAAGACATTCTAAATAGCGGAGGTTGTAGCCCTACTAATTGCGCTTTATTCTACCTATTAAACAAGTCTATACGACGTTAGCGCGTTGAGTTTTCGCTATTCTGCTAAGCCGACTCGACTGTAGCTGTCCGGATTGCTAGGCGGCTAGCTGCAGCCCTCGGTAGTAAGATAAAGGCAAAGGGTTAAGAATATAGGTATTCTAAGAGTTAGAGGTGCGAGCGGCGGTTAATCTAAGGGTCCGCTCGTAATTTACTTAGCGTTTTATATGCCGTTTATATATAAGTAATACAAAGGAGGGTACTATAGAACAAACGTAGTTACCGGAAGACCTATCTTAGAAGATCGTATCTATAGCTTCAATTTGACATTTTAACGTATACTTTGTATAGCTATTTTGAAAGATCGTATTATTGCGCAGAACAGCTTTTTTGGGTTTGTCTATCTAATGTGTAGTTATGCTTCTATAAATTCGAATTCTCGTTTGTATACCGGACGGTTATATAGGAGCCGTACGGTTTTCTTTTAGGCGCTTCGCTATAGGCTTAGCATAGACCGCTAACCAGATACATATTAGTGCAGATGATATAAGGACGTAGAGACAGAGTAGAAGGTAGAAGGTGCTAAATTTAGGTAGAAGGTCCATACAAGCCTACAAAGCGGGGCGCCTGAATGGAGGTAGTGCATGGGGAATATATATTGCGTGCTACGCTCAACCACGGCTTTGGGAGACTTCGCGTCCCCTGGCTGCTCTGTATATGCTTGATAAGGGACACTCTGTACTTCGTGATGGCTATGCAGAGGATACATTAGTGCCCGTAGTGCTGGACTGGATATGAACGTATGAGGTGGGCGGATGGGCATAGAGACGATTTAGAATAGGCAGGCACTTCGCGGCTCGGCTCGGCGCTGCTTCGTGCCGCAATCACAAGCCACACCACACCACACCACACCACAGCCACAGGTGAGGTGAAGCCACACTTGACTTGACTTTCTCGTGGTCGCGATCGCCAAACACAACATCAACGCCCACGTAGCCATTATGCCGCCCAAGCCGCTGGCCAAGCGAGACGATGGCGGCGCTAAGGGCGTACTGCCGGTCACTGCTGCTACACGTGCGGCGGCGTCGAAGGGACCGGCACCGCGATTGAAGCTCGAGATCCGGCGACTCCCACCGGGCCTGACGTTGACCGAATTCGAAGAGATATTGGGTGACGAGTGGAAACCGGGGAATGGCAGAGTGGACTGGAGAGAGTACCGGCAAGGGAAAGTCAAGCAATCTGCGGCCAAGGTGCCCGAGCAGAGCCGATGCTACATGCATTTGCTCAGTGAACCTATCCTCAAGGAGCTGGAAGTCCGTTTCCTGGAAGCATCTTTCCACGACAAGGCTGGAACGTATAGGTTGCCTGATCTCAAGCATTTGCCACCGACTATCGGGTACGCCCCTAACCAGCGCGTGCCTACCACAACCAAAGTGAGGACAGACAATCGGCAGGGAACCATTGACCAGGATCCGGAATTCATGTTGTTTCTGCAAGCCGAAACACAGCCGATCTTCAAGCCAGCAGCTCTCGATACGCTGGGAGTGGAGGCGGAGAAGGCGGAGAAGGAGCAGATCAAGAGCACGCCATTGATCGAGGCGCTGAGGGAGAAGAAGGCGAACAAGGCCAAGGCAGCGGAGGCGAAGGTGGAGAAGAAAGATGGGAAGGGCCACCAGAGGACCGGCAGTAAGGACAATGCTGTGGCGGAGAAGGGCGGCAAGGATGGGAAGGCGACTCAACAGCAGAAGGCTCAGCAGCAGAAGATCGAGCAGGTGTCAAAAGAGGCTGTGAAGGCTCTGAACAAGCAAGTCGCCAACAAGCAGCAACAAGCACAACAGCGTCCGGCGTCGCCACAACAGCCTCCGAAAGCACAGACAAAAGGGCAAGCTGCAGACAAGGCACCAGGCACACCAAATGCGAAGGGCAAGAAGGGAGCTCAAGCTGCACAGCCGACCTCGATGGCCAAGCTGCCCAATGCTGCTCCTACTCAACCCGCAGCCGACGCAGCCAAAGCTTCGTCCACAGCATCTGCTGCAAGTGCAACGCCTCCACGTGCACCGCGCCAGAGAGGCAATGCCGAAGGTATCAAGAGGATGCTTCAGAAGGATCTGGGCATCAAACCGAAGCCGCAGCCAGCTGCACAAAACACATCCCAGCCAGCCGCACCAAACTTAACGGCTGCATCTCCTGCGACCCCCAGTGCGATTAAAAGGGAAGCAGCACGGCCATCAACACCCGCGTCCACTACTATACCGACTGGACCAGCAAAGCAACAGGCCACGCCGAAGCAACCGGCAGCTCCGACGCCTGTAGTCTCATCGACCAAAGCGTACCTGAAGCATGCTAATCCCAGCCAAGGCATGACTGAGATCCTGATCCAGCAAGCACTCTCCCAGTATGGCGAGGTCAACAACGTGACTATCGACCCGCGAAAGGGCACCGCCATAGCTATATTCAAGGAAAACGATGGCTTGAAGAAAGCATTGGAGGCCAAGAAGGTGCCTGTTGCTAATGGTAGTGTGGAGGTGCTGGAATGGAAAGATCGTGCAGTCAATGTGGGCGGAAGGGGTGGCTTTCATGGTAGGCGAGGAGGTGGTGCAAGAGGTGGTAGAGGTGGAGCTCAGGTGCCAATAGCCGCTGCTGCTGCTGCTGCTCCGACTGTACCGAAGGGCGGCGGTGGCGAAGGTGCTGGAGGTTGAGCGTGGAGGCATTATGAGACATGAATTATGATGAGAGTGCATGGGTTTTCACAATAAACCAACCATGAGGGCACAAGCACGAAGCCAACGACAGAGTTAAGATCTTAGAGATATGCGCGGCGGCACGGGACTGGTTCTGAAGAGTTGCTTCCAGGCGCATCTAATCAAGGCAAAGCATCGCTCTACTGCAAATCCAGACAGAACGATTGGGAAAGAGACCTTGGATTGGCATAATGAGGACGTCGCTGGGCCAGTATGAAAGTGAATCACGGCGATCGGTAACCCACTTCCGAGATGTCGCACGAGCTCAGACTTCACTTGCGCGGTTCGTCTCATACCAAACCTTGCTTTGGATCATCGTCGTCTCGCCTTGCTGCACGACGTTCTGCAATAGCACGTCAAGCGCCCACTGGCAATCAGAAGACCGCCACAATGCCACGACTGCTTGTCGAGTTCATTGCAGATGGTGCAGTTGACCTCGGGGCGAAAGAAGCAGGCATGTTGGCATTGCAGTCGCGAGAGATACCAAGCAGCTTTGAGGTTAGTTATGAGACAACCTTCGTACATTTTGATTGATTGCGATGCAAGTACAGCGCTGCTTCAGAGATACATTCCTTGGCTCTACCATTTGTGAAAACAATCTTTGGCCTCGCGTCATTTGTTGATCAGTACCATTCCTCGCCGCTCTTAATGCGTCACTTTCTAGCATTGGACGAACACTGGTCATGCTCGACACTGACACTCGAAATTACAGAAATTGCAGCATCCGAGATCTTCAATCATCTCTTTGTTTCATCTCTGCTGGTGCCGGCACAACGACAATGAAAGAAAACACAACCTAAATAACAGCTCATTATCGAGCGGTATTTCTTTATTCAAGTCCTCCTCGATGTGCTGCAGAGTTGCGAGAAATCGTATATTGCATCGACGTTCTCGACCCTCTACACGAGAACAGCAAAGAATTTCTTGCCAGCAGCTGGTCTGCTATACGCTTTGACACTTTCGCAGTCCTTGAAGCTTGTTTCTATCGAAAACCATGGAAGATCTCACGTTCGGAATCGAGCTCGAATTCCTTTGCGTCCGCAATGTTGACTGCTTCAAGAGGATGTTCCCCTTCAAGGCAGGCCAGTGGGGAGGAGAGGCCGGGTCTGAGTACGGTGGCGCTGCCAACGCAATCTTCTGCCATCTAGATGAAGCCGGCATCAGCGCTGACATCGGCAGGACAAGGCTTGGAGTAAAGGAGACATACAGCGATTGGCTTATCATGACAGATTGCCTTGAGCTCAGCGAAGAAGAAGATTTACTCAAACCAGAAGACTTTGTCGTCGAGCATTTGGAGATTGCTTCCCGCAAGCTATCCTTTTACAACGATAACTGGCCGAAGGAGCTACGCCGAGTGCTCAAAGTCCTGGCTCAGATCGAGAAACGATACGGCTGCAAGTTCTTGACGAATAGCAGCAGCGGTCTCCACGTGCACGTTGGAAGAGACAAGGGAAGACTGCCATTCCAAACGATCAAAAGAGTCACGCAATTCATGACGGCGTTTGAGAGCAGGCTCGATGAAATCCACGCCGCGTCTCGTGTCCTCGCACCTGCAATTCCCATAAATCCAATGATTGACGGCGTGTTCATCGAAAACGAATCATACAAAATACCACTATATGCACCACTATCTTTCTTCCTTCACGCGACTGAGGGCGGCGACAGCTTGATCGGAAATTCTAACCTCTTCGACTGGCTCTTGAAGATTCAGCGCTTTGACACCTACAACGATGTCTCAGCATTGTATGACTTCCGCTATCTTGACTTCCAACTGAATGGACACCGATGTGCTGTCAACCTCGACAACACAATCCAAGCGCATAACTATCGCAGCAGCGAACCTTCCAATACCATCGAGTTTCGACAACACATTGGCACGCTCGATTACACCGAAATCATCCACTACGTCACGCTCCTGGTCAATATCATGCAGTTCTGCCACACAACTTCCCACCAACATTTCCTGCTCCTCATGATCAACGCAGCCGATATGAACTTCCTACTCCCACAACTTCTCTCCTTCATCGGCTGCTCGCCTCCTCTCATCACCTACTTCCAACGACACGAAGAAGATGACCTCGGCCTCCTATACTCGCCCCTAAGTCCCAGAAGACCCAGTCTCACAGCGGAGAAACTCGCACAGCTAGCAACCCCCCTCAGAGCCGTTTTCGAAGAAGAACTCCTCAAACAAGTCACCTCGCTCGAAGACCTACTAGCTCAGAACGACGAGGAGCAAACAGCCAACAACGACCGAGCCACCATCGACCTCCGACAAATGCTCAAGTACACAACTGGCTACTACGGTCTTCGACAAAACGTCTCAAAACTCCCTTTCGGTCTGCCCGACGTGAACTGGTTCCTGGAATGTGCGCTCAAGGAATTCCGTGAAGAATTTGATTTTGAGAATGTGTTTTCGCCGGAAGAGCAGGTCGAGCAGGCTGTTACGGGAGTTTTTGAGAAGTTGGCGGAGATTTATGCGGGGTATGATAGTCGCTTGCCGCCGCGACAGGCTGTTGTTGTGAGGGCGATTGGGGATTGGGAGGAGCGGTCGATGGTGGTTGTGGAGAGGGTTTTGAGGATGGGGAGGAAGGCGAGTCGAGAGGTTGAGGCGAAGAGTCCGAGAGGGCGGAAGCGGAAGAGGATGTCGGTTTAGGGACAGTGGTCGGATTTGTTTTGTTTGTTTCGTGGATTTTGAGTATCTTCGTGCGAGTGAGTGAATTCAAGACCGTGTACCTTGTGATGCGCATGGAACCGGTGGACTTCTCCTGGCATCTGTTGATAGATCTGTTTTTTTTTATCTTCTTCGTACTTCTATCTGCAGGCGATTCATCAATCTCTCACGAAATTGCAGGTGAATATCCGCTTGGCCTGTCTACCGCGGTGGTCTAGAGCACGTATCGGCGGGAACTATATTCAATTATCCCTTCGCCATCTCAAGCTAGCATAACTCGAGCAACGAATTAGGGCCCTACCGCAAGAGCTGGAGGACATGCTCTTTGAGTTCGCAATCACCATGGAATCTAACCAGATCATCAGCATCGGCCGTCAGTACAGGTCGCCGTGGCAGCTCGCTGTCAACTGCTAACCCTAAGCGTCCTGCGTAGAGCCATCCGGATGACCAGGAGTATGAAAACTCCGAGTAGCACCCTCTCTATCTCTCTGCTCATATGGGGACGACTGGTGAATAGAATGGGCCTATACGTCCCGGATCCGTCCTATCTGTCTGCTCTTGAGCTCTCGATTTTCGCCGGAATTGTCGTGCTGATGAGCTCGGTCCAACTCTTCTCGTGCTGGATGTACATGGGCGATTGGTCTTATTCCCGTATAGGCGGCATGTGTGAATGCTACATCCTCCCATGAGATTGTACTTGGAGTCGGACCGCGTCGCACCTGCTGGAATCATATTTCGAACGTGGCGTATTGGAAATTTTTGACCTCGGCTTTGAGAATAGCTATGTCATCCCCTATTCTTGATGACCTTGCGTGGATTACTTGTGATGGATGTCGAGGCGGAAGTTGTCAAGGGAGATTCTCGGAAGGATTTATTCTAGCCTGCCTTCTGGAAGCATCCGACCTCACCTCATCCCTTCACTTGTTTCGTCAACGAACAAAGATCCTCCGCCCCGTAGCAATGGTCACCTTCAGCCCTAGACACATTACGAGAGGCATGACAAGCCTAGCTACTCACCCGAAGAAACCACGAAGCCTAGAGTCAGGATAAGAACAACCCTCTGTCTGAAGTGGGGCCATACCACGAAAACCATGCCTCTCTTTCCGTCTATCTACCTCGTATCGTTTCGATGGATTCATACTCACTGCTGGTGTCCCATACTCGGAACAAGAAAGCAAAAGTAGCAACCAAATCGAAGTCACCAACCACAAACCCAGAAGCCGCATCGCTTACGCTACCGACCACATACACCCCCTCTCCATCATCATCAGGTGTGAGTTGAAGTTCTTTAATATTTCGTCATGAGGATTGGATGGGAAAAGATTGAGTTGGAAGTTCACGGGGCATATGGGATCAAGATTGATGACAGAAAGGCGTATGGAGAGTTGCTAGGGAAGCATTTGAGGTACGATCATTTCTTGTTATTTGAGTTCTTGACTTCCTCCTTCTACCTGAAAAAGATATGAGATGTGAGTCTCGGTCCGTTTGCGCACAGCTGTATCCCTCCTCTTCCTTCGCTCCGTGCGCCTCTGCTAATGGATTGGGGTATCTGTGCATCATTCTCAATCGTCAAATTCGTTTCAATTCACGCAACGTCCTGCTCCCTCGCTGCGCCATGACTTCCAAACATGCCGGGTGTCAATTGCAGCTCAAACGCACGCCTCTTCATGCATCGGGATCGTCATCCACCATCGATGTAGCTCCAGATCCAGGACGCTTCTGACCAATCATGGTTTCGTCGGCGATTCTCACCTGCACATCACGCGCGTGGCAGATGACGAGCGCCAGAGCCAGAGAATTCCACACGTCGTAATCTGGATCTTGGAAGTCGAGGAACGCCATTGAGCTGCACTCGTCTGTGTCGACGCGATAGGCCATGACGCAGGCTAAAGTATACGAGGCTGCGATTACGTAGAATGTCGGAAGCTCGTACGAGAGCAGCGTGTGGTTTGAGGATCGGGAACCTGGCGAGAACTCAACCGATCTGGCGACTCTGAATGCATTCTTCCATCTCTTCGCCAACTCGCGGCACTTGGCTTCTGCGTTCTCTTTGATGAGGTCGGCGTGAGTCTCCGCTGGTTGATATTCCTGCACCAAGACTGGTATCGCGGTCTTCTTGTCCAGCCCGGCATCGTTCTGTGCCCACTTATTGTAATGGCGCACGGCACGTCTGATCTCCTCCTCTGGTTCGACTGGGCCTTCCAAATACTTGCGATCACGAACTCGGCCTCCGAGATCCAGGAGGTGTTGGAGTGCCTTGCTTGCATGGAAGTGCTTGCCACTGACGCTGCCAATGATAGCATCGTCGGTCTTCTCGAAGAAGCCGTCTGGCAGAAAGTTGTACTCGAACTTCATGTAAGCTGGCAACAATGGCTCGTAGCCCCTCTTCAAGATGCGATGGAGCAAGGTGATATAGTCGTCATCCCATCCCTGCTTGCGCAACTCCCCCTCTTGAAACTCGCTTTTGTCGAACTGTGGTGGCAGCATGACCAGCTTGCGCCGCTGTGGCGAATTGTAGTATGCCTCGTCGTCAACCACCAGCGACATGTCGTCCAACTCATCAGCCATCTCGTCCAGCGTGGGAGACTTCGTCCTCGAATAGCGTTGCGACGGCGTGCGAAGGTAGGGACTCTGCTCGGTGTAGTCCTCCATCACTGAATCCTCCTCATACTCGGCCATAACGGGTGTGTGCGGCTCGAAGTCCATGTCTTCGACCTCGATCTTTGGTTGCTTGACGCGGCTGCTTCGTTGCGAACTGCTTGGCGTGTGTAGCCGCTTCCTCTTCTGCCCGGTGGCGGGCGCGCTGGCAGGACTCGATGTCGGACGCAGCCTCCAGTCCCTGACTCGCTCAGATGGGCTCATAGACCTCGTGGACTGCCCAATCTGATCCAGCGACGCTTTTCGGGCACTTGCTGGGTACGCAGGCTTCTTGTAAACAACACCGTCCGACTGTGGTGTGGGCAGAGGTGCTTTGGCGGCCTTCCGAGGGGAGACATAGTCCCACAGACTGTCTGAGAGCCGTTTGATAAACGCCATCACTTGCGGAAAGTCGGTGTGGGGCGAAGTGAGGTCTGAGGTGTTGCGCGTGAGAGCAATAACAGCTATGCGGGCGCATTCGATACAAATGCTGCATTCGGTGGCTTTACACTCGTCAAATACCACAGCGAGACACGAAGCTCTTGCGACTGACGACCGCCGTTGCGACGGAAAGGGACAAGGTCACATTGTTGCCTTGGCTGGCATTGTCTTGTCGCTTGCAGGTGAAGAAGGTGCATGTCACATTCTGAAACACCAGACCCTTGCCGGATCCGGCCTATGCACAGAAAGCATGGACCATCCCACGCACCCGCACCTTCGGGTCGGTCGATCTCCCGCGATTCAGATCTGCTGCATTTCTCAGACTGACTTTTCGACTTTCTCAGTGTTCTCTACAACACACCACTGTCCACTCACTCGACGGCGAAAGGGTGTATGCGGAGCTAAACGGCTTTATCACCGCACTTATGCGCTGTTTCCGCGACGCGTGACGGCATCGCTACGTGAGAGTCGCTGCGGGCACGACGCGTAACTCTCAGCACGCAGCACGCCATCTGCGCTTTCTCAATGCCCGCTCGCTCTCGCCTGTCCTTCTTCTCTACAACACCGACACTTTCAGAGCAAGCGCTTCCGTGAAACCACACACACACAAAGCCACTCGAGCGAAAACGCACACCCCAAGACACACAAGCGAATTCAAACATCAGAACTGCATGAACCCGCTATTGAAGCGCGAGAAGAGAGGACGAGCCGGTCAGTTGTACAGTGAGACGTACCACGGCTACAACGCCAATGGCCCTCTCATACCATCGGAGCTTCACGTCTACCGAAAGAATCTGTGGCACTCGCCAGTAGACTACGCTGCCGAAAATCGCCTGACTGCGTGGAGCTTCTTTGACACCCGCAGAAACGGAAGGCGCACCTACGAGGCGTACTTGCCGACGGTGCCTATGGACGTTGACTCCGGGCCTGTCCACACCACCGAGGACGTCTCAATGGATTCGGAAAAAGCAGAAGCGCCACGCGTCCACTTCTCACCTTTGGCACGCGATCCAAAGCCACGTACGGCAAATCTTGGCCCAGCGCCAACGAAGGTGGGCAAATCTGCCCTAGTCTCCCGAATTCAAGCATACGACAGTATCGTCGACCAGTACGTGCCGCAGACGCCTCACCATTGGAACCACGATACCGATTTTTCTATCAAGAGTGGGCTTGCGGAAGAGAAGAAACCGCAGCTGTCGCCGCCTCCTGCTTCCAGCAGCCCTTTCCTGTCATCGCCACTAAAGAGTGCTCCAGTAGCACCTCGGCGAAATAATCACTTCGAAGTGCCAGAATTCAGCACCTTCATGTCCGATGAGTTTTCGGAATTTTCGCCAGAGAAAGCCTCCACGCCTGGAGCAGTGAGAGCATTCTATACCTCGCCGAAGGCCAGGTCACCACCAAAACGCAAAGAGCTGTCGCCGGAATCGCAAAGCTCACCATTCCAGTCTCAGTTGACATCGCCATCAGAGCGAAACATGCTGTCTCCAGTGTCACGACGTTCGCCATTTCAGTCTCAGGCACCAAAGCCGGAAGTTCTGTACCCAGGCTTGCAGAACAGCACCACCGAGAAGCAGTATTTTCTCGCAGAACAGACAGTATACGAAGAATCAGATCCCATACCAGAGCCCATTCGCATGATTGGCGGCATGCTTGTCGCAATAGTCACCACGACTGTGACCACCTACATTCCTGCTATTATTGGTGCAGTCTGGAGATCCATCTGGCGCAGCGCCACTACCAGCACAAGACGTGCGTCGCGAGAGCCGCAGGAGATTGTCGCAGTCGAAACAGCTCCAAACAGTGGCAAGCGCCGAGCGGTCGCGAAGCAAGACCTGATGCCCACGCCACCGCAGCAGTCCGGAGCGATTGAATCGCAGAAGTCCGGCCAATCACCACCACAGATGGCGACTCCGCCGGATTCTCGTCCAAACAGCAGAGACGAGGAGTCTAAGAAGGATGCTGCTCCCCCATCCCGTCGTCCACGAGGAATGTTACCAGCCCCAGGACATACGGCTCTTGATTACTACGCTAGTACCGTTGGTCATATACCGCGTCCAGTGTCTGCCTCGAAATACCTTCCAAAAGGCACCAGCAAAATCGAATTAATTGCCAGAGAAGCTCGGCGGGAAATGAGGAAAAGAAGAGAAGAAGAGCTTAAGGAAGCTAAACAGAAGCGCGACGAAGAAATCGACAATCTCATCGCCAAGGCCAAACAGGTCGCCATCGAGAGTCCAGAGCAGAAGAGACTCAGGCAGAGCGTGAGCACACGCAAAACCCGCGCAGAGGCAGCTGCAGCGGAAGAGCTCAAAAAGCAAGAAGAGCTTCGACAGGCGGAGGAATCAGCTCGCTTGCAAGCAGAGGAGGAGGAGCGCGAAAGGATTGAGGAGGAATTGCGCAAGCAGGAGGAAGAGAAAGCCAAAGTTGCAGCACAGCTCGCTGCAGAAGAGGAGCAGAAACGACTCGAGGAAGAAGAGGCTCTCAGAGCAGCGGAAGCGGCAGCCAGACCGCTTATCCCGACCCTGAGCGATGATTTGGAAGCCAGGATCGCTAGCACCATGGCAATCACCGATGCCAGCAAGATTGTTTGCAAGACCAGCGCCGGCGTCGAGCTTACACGATACGATCTCGGACGGGTCCTGCCACAACCCAACGAGACATTGCTTCGAAACGTCCCACGAGGCATCAAGGGCGGTCCAGGCATGTGGCTGAACGACGAGTCCGTCAATGGCTTCATTTCCGCTATAGTACAGCGGAAACTAGACCAGTTCGGCTACAGCAAGCGTGCAGATGTCGTTCCAGCATACGTCGCCTACGATACGAATTGGTTCCCAACCTACAAGCAGAAGGGCATCACTGGCATCGGTCGCTGGAGTCGCCGCAAGCACATCGCCGGCGCAAAGCTCCTCCAGTGCGAAAAAATCTTCTTTCCGTGCTCCACAGGCGCTCACTGGACAATTCTGATCATATCGCCCAAGGCAAGAACGATTGAATTCTTGGATTCGGCACACGGCACGCGATCTAATTGGATCAAAATCGCGAGAGAATGGCTGGCAATGGAGTTAGGAGCAAAATACGATGCTGGGGAGTGGAAGGAGGGTGCTGCCAGGAGCCAATCACAGTTGAACTTCGACGACTGTGGCGTTTTCACATGCATGAACGCATTGGCCAGTGCAGAGGGCAAGGACTTTGGTGAGGTAATCCCGACTCGGGACATGCCGGAGGCGAGGAAGTTTATTGTTGGAGTATTGATAAATGAGGGTTTTGAGGAATAGTTCCCGCCTGTGGGATAGCATTTTTGGGGGTTGGGAAAGGAGCGTTCGTTTAAGATACCCTTACCGTAGAGCTATAGCTCCGGCTGCATTAACGAGACCATGACATTCATCTCCTCTCTCGACTCTTTTCCGTACTGTCAAGTTTTGGAGTTGACGAGAAAACTGCTTCCTAGGTGAGCTTCCAGGTGTTCACGTCACCTCTCTCCGCGGGGTGAAATGGGTTGTTGGTAAAGAAGGTGGTGAGCGTGGAGCATGGGTGGGGTATGGAGTTGAGGCGGTCAGGTGGAGGCTTGGAGTCTCACATTGGGGTTGTTTTCTTCCTCGCTCTGGGGCACCGTGTGGTTCTGAGGGTTTGATCTCAGCTCTACTCCACGAGACCACGATCGCTGAGGTGCTCATCTCCTCTGGTGCGAGTCTATGGTATAAAGTCAGGTCTCAGAGAGGGTGTGACGTGAGATACCGCATGTTTACTTTGCTTTCCGCGCGAGCACGATCTCTGAAGTGCTCGTCTCTTTTTCAGAGCTTCAGCTGATGATAGACTGGCGGAGGTGCTGCGATGCAGAAGGCTGTCATTCTGTGGTCTGATGCTATGGTATTCCTACTCTACAAATGTACAGCCACTCTCTTGGTCATGTACTTGTCAATTCCCCACAGCCCGAAGCAGCTGAGAATCGCAAGCACTCCAAATGGAATGCTGACATAGTACAGCAGCGGGAAACATTTGGCGTACAAGTTCTGCCCAGCCTGCACAATCGTGGCGAGCTCTTCAGGTGTGTTGATCTCTGGAAACAGCTCAAGGTAGTGGCTAAGAGGACCTGCCGTCATACTCGTAACAAGCTGTTCGATTCGTTCGACTGGATTGTCACTGTCGCCAAAGCCGACACTCAGAGCTGGAAAGGCGATGAGATACGGATCAGAAGCAGCCAGCTTCCGCACCCGAGACTTGAAAATGTTGTAGAACATTGATTTGCCAACGACCTGGCCGATCATGCGAATGACCAAGCTGAGAGCCACAGAGGTAGCAATCAGATCGTCAGGGCAAATGACCGAGAAAACGACTTGCGATGGAAGCAGAACCGCACCCACACCGATGAGGCCGAAGATCATTGGCGCCCAGACTGTGTTGATGTCGGCCGGATCGAATAGGGACATACAGCCCATGCCTACCCAAGCGTAAGCATACATCTGTGGATGAGATAGCGGAAGACTCACCAATCACCTGCAAGCAGCAGAAGAATAGCAGAACCCACTGGATGTGATTTTTGAATACCGTGATCAAGATTGCTGATGCGATTGCACCACCGGCAATACAGAAACCGAGCGGCAACAACCAGATGCCGGCGTCCTTGAAACTCGCGCCATAGACAGTATATGTCTGAATCGTCCAGAACACCGTCAAGGGTACATAGTTGATACCAGAAGTCAGACAAAGCGCGGAAACAGAGAAGAAATGTCTTTTGCTCTGGACAAGACGGGCCGGGAACATTGGATACTTGGTGACCCATCGCTCATAGCAGCCAAAGATGACCAGAGTTACAAGGCCGAACATCAGCATGCAGATGACTCGTGCCGACCTCCAGGGATAGAACTGACCGCCCCAGTTGATTCCTATGAGGAACAGAACCACTCCAAGGATCGATAGAATACTGCCACCCCAGTCAAGTCGCTTCAGCAGTTCCATCTTCGACAGGCCGATGGCTGAAGGTCGTGGTGGAGGATTGTAGTAGATCACGAGCACAACCAGCGAGATCGCAGACCAGACTCCCAGCACCAGATAAATGTACCTCCAATTATGCTCAGCGATGAGCTGTCCGTACAATGATGCAGCAGCGAAGGGCAGGAATCCCATGACAATATAGCCGATTGTGGCGCCACGTTTCGCAACAGGCACAAGTTCGGACGCAGCGGCAATGACGGTCAAAATCTGGATTCCTATGGCAGCTCCGGCAACGACTTGTCCACAAAGATAGCAAGCAAAGTTCGGAGCAGCGGCTTGCAGGATGAAAGAGATGACTGCCAGGACCAGACTGAAACAGATAATGCCTTTGCGGCCCATCAAGTCTGACAAGCTCCCCACGAAAGGTGCAATTGCTCCCGTGGAAATATAAGGTGCGACGAGAATCCAGACTAGGTTGTCGATGGCATCGAGGTCGAAGGCAATGACTGTGAAGCTCGTCACCAGGAACAGAGGTGTGACTTCGGCGACCACGAAGGCCATTGCCAGACCAAACATTGTCATGAAGAAGGAGAAGGTGAGCTGGTCAGTCTTGGTCAGTCCAATGCTTCTCTCTATCGAACAAGAGCAACGTGCCTTGTTCTCGACATTCTGCTCCTCCCCCGACTCCTGTTCGTATTTCGGAGAGGTAGCGCTGTCGCCATCAGTCTGTCTGGTTTCCACCTTCTCCAGGCTCGAGAGATCCTGCGGCTTCACTTCCGCAGACATGGTCGTCGGAGAACGCGTTCAGGTGCAGAGCAAGATTGAGCGCGTGCTGCCAGCGGGAGATCAGAGACACCCACATGGCCGTTCTACACTCTATATCACACGCTTTGAATCGCCCAGGACCTCGGTACGCTAGATATGACCAAGACATTGCCATGTGCCACGTGCGTCTGCGACGTTTGGCAGGCCAGTCGACGTTGAAGAAGGGATGAATTGCGTTACACAGCAGCTCTGGACGCTTGACAAGACATTTTTCGCGGGAAACAGCGCTTGGAAGTGGGGTACATGGTGGTACTGCCAATGCTCGCCGCGCTTTTTGCTACATTATGGCTGAGAAGGACAAGATGCGTACAGCGATCATAGTCGCTTTGAGCTTCGGTATCAGCATAAACCAACATCAACATGCTGTCGAGTCAGCGCGTACCTGGACACTGCTTATTACGCAGATCTTGGCTACAGCTCTGAAAAGACCCGGCAATGTATCACACTATTGCTTCAGTCGACAGTACCCTGTACTCTTCTGTCGCTTGTCCTGCAGGGCCTACCGCATTTGTTGCCTGCGAGCTCGGCTGAGCGTCGATAGGCTATGCTGAACACGGTGTGTTCGACGTTGCTGCGACATAGCACATCTTGAAGCTTCTCTTCATGACCATGCAGAGCTGCTCGACGCGTGAGAATGACAAGGAGCACCAATGAAGCTCGCCTTGGGCTTGCCGATGTTTGATCTGCGAAGCGTAGGGAACAGGATCCGGCGAATTGAAGGGGTCTGTTACAGAGTGGTACTTCTTCTATGCTGGATGCCTAGCTTGCCCATCAGAGTGGGGTCTTTGGCTCGCTCTGCTATAAGCATGATTCGCCCAAAGCATAGGATTTTACATACAGCGAGCTGTAGGCTTGCCGTCCCGGGCGGGCAGGCGTCAGCACTTTGCACCAATGTGTAGCGAGGTAACAAATAGCCCTGTGCAAGCTGTCCGGACGCCGCATGCCCGCTTGCGAGGCGCGAGCGATTGTAGTTGGGATTGAGTCGACATGTGCGTGAACGCAACAATCCCGTACCACGCGCGAAGTATTGCTCCATGAGTGTAGCTCACGCGGACTTCGGTGCGAGACTTCGCTGGACTTTTGAAGCCAAGATAGACCCAAGGCCTTGCGTGCTTGTCCATTGTATTGTCCATATTACCATGCCTCGGTCGGCTTGTCTTTGCGCAGACCGCTGCTCTTGTGCGTTCACATGCTATAGGTATGTCCTTGCACCACTCGCTACTACTCACAGGCTTGATCCCGCACATGAATGGCGCGCACCCTTCCTTCCATACACTCAGGACGAATCGAATAAGTCTTGGGCGGTGTTCGGCGATCGTTTCGACTGGGACCAGTGGTGCGCCGTAGAGCGATGATGATTGCTTGTAGGCATTGTGACTCCTGGTGTTGCGGAGCTGGCTGCGGCGGAATCTTCCGACCTATTGAGTTTTTCTTTTTTAAGTATCAAAGTTCAAAGAAGCCTCGAATCCCTCAACAACCCAACCCCAAACTCCAACATCCCCAAATCATGCCAAAATGCTGCATGCAGGCTCCGGGATTTGTTGGCTTCCAGATCTGGCCCATACATTGCGAAGCACCTCGACTCTGCGATGATGCCCCCCTCAATCAGATCTGGTCCACCGACATCTTCATCAGTCAGAGTGCTTCCATTGCCCCATCGAAGAGCGAGCAGGTCTCCGTTGCAAGAGTCGGGAGAGAAGAGGCTGCCGGAACAGACGCCTACGAACCAGTAGCTTGTATTGCCTGCCATGGCACCAGGATCGTTGTAAGGACAATCATTTAAACAACGCAGGCGGTTTGTACACCTTCGTACGCACTCCGGAGTCAGCTTCGTACTGTCGGTAAGCTGGGCTTTCCGCCATCGCTACACTTAAGTCTGTTCGATTACAGGCCATCTCGTAGACGTCTTCAGCGTCGCTCCCGGTCTGTGACCTCAATGCTTCCAGCGCATGAACTTGCTTGGAAAGGTCACTCCGCAGACATTGCCAAAGCGAAGGTACAGCAAGCAGCGACGACACCTGCCACAATTGCTTCTGGAAGGTAACGGCACGGTCAACAATTCGCGGCCCCAAACCATGGCATCGACACTCCAAACATGACCGGATGTTCTTTGATACCTATTTTGAGCAGCATTTACAGGTCTTGCAAACCCACAGCTCGAAAGACGAAAGCGTAGCAGAAGAAAAGTCCTGTATGATTGAAAAACAGGCGCCAGTACAGAATGCATTGAAAACCTACTGCGCCAAGCCAACGAGACCCAGAGGACGGTGAAACTACTCTAGGCCCGACGATTAAAGCCTAAGGCAAACATCTCGCCTCCTTCTGAAGATACTGCTAGACGGTAACGATAGCGCTAGCGACAAAGCACGATACCTACAAGTCGACCGAACAAGAGTGCCTCGCTATAATGCCTCGCTATAAGCTAGAGATGTAAAAACCTTAGTAAACTAGTAAATAGTAATTACTATAGTAATAGTAACATTACTATAGTAATCACTATTACTATCACTATTACTATTACTAGGGACCTTCGAGAAATAGTAATAGTAATAGTAATAGTAAAATAGTAATTACTATTCTACTATTATAGTAGTTTTTCTACCTATCCCAAGCTACAGAATTACTTAATAAGTATAATATACTATAATATACTATAATATAATTAAGGATAGTCTAATATTAAGAGTAGAAATATATATAACTATAGTATATATATAATAGTATAGTAGCGGCTTCTACTAGTCGCTATAGTCGATAATATATATACAATAGTACAGTAGCCGCTGATATTAGCCGCTATAGTTGCTATTATCTAGTAAGGGCAGGTATACTTATATAGGCAGTCTTTCTAATAGCTAGATAGAGCCGTTATCTATTTTATACTATATAATCGTTACAATTCTATTATATTATAGCCGTATACTTAATATATATTTTTTATATTTATACTAGCTATAGGATTACTTATATAGTGCTCTAGACTATATAGATATTTACAGTATAATATAGGTATAAAAGATTAACAGTATCTACCTAAATAAAGAAACTACTATAAAAAAAAGAATCTTAATTTTTATAATATCTAAGACTTTAATAATATATTCTATACCCTAAAGAAATTATAGTACTAATAAAAACGATTTAAGTACCAATCCATATAGTATATAGTATACTATAATAAATAATTTATTTTATACAATCCTAGAAAAAAAAATAGCTATAGGATGTTTTCTTATAAAATAATATTATATACCTATTATGAAAACAAAAACTATAGTAATATAAGAACTTTACACTATACTAGTTTCGGAATTTATTCTATAATAATATAATAACTATATTATATTATTTAATTATATAAGTATTAATATATATTCTATTAGAATATTAGTCTTTCCTATTAGTTATAGTTGAAAAATGTATTTAGAGAATTAGTTGTCTATATATTCTCAATAAAAGATTAGTAGTTACGAAAAGAGAGATTATTCTACTAATATTAATATATATTAGTACAATTAGTTTCTAAAGTATCTATTTAGAAATTCGATATATATCCTTAGTATAGTAGTCTGTATAGCCTTGAAGCTTAGGTAGCCTAATTTTAGCGTATTAGTTTTGCTAATATTAGTATATTTTCTATAAACCCTTACCAAAATCCGTCTGGTTTAAATTCCCCTTTTTTAGGATAGATTATCGTTTTTGCCTTCTTTCTAGGAATAAATATAGAAGTTTTCTTTTTTAGCCTTCGACTAAATGGCTTAAATATCTTAGTCCTATTATAAGGATCTTGATATATAGCGCCGCCCTTTGCTGCTTGTCTAATTTGCTTAAATGGTTCTATAAAATATTAGTAAAGTAGATATAGTAATTCAAATAAACCTATAGACTTACGGCCGGTTTTCGGATTGATAATCATTTTCCTAGGCGTTATATTTATAGCATTAGGGTCGCCCTTTGGAAATAGTACGATAGAGCTAGTAGTAGACATTCTAATACTAATAAAATTAGTATATTACTAAGTAAGTAGTTTTTTTTATATTAGTAGACTTACTTCGTATTATAGTAGTAGTCTACTATTGAATAGACGTCTTAAAAGATTATAGCGTAGTAGAGAGTAGCGTAGTTAGTTGTAGTCTCGTATACTAAAGTAGTATAGAAAGAAGAAAGATCTTTAGAAAGGAAAGGACGAAGTATATATATTACTCTCTCCTTTTCAATTAAGGTTTATATACAATATTATAACTATATTTAGTAAAAAAAATATAATAATATATTTAAATAAATTTATTTATTTATAATAGTATCTTAGAATAATAGAATAATATATTATTTTAGAATAAATATATTCTATTATCCTATTATTCTAATATACTATTATAAATAAATAAATAAATTTCAATATACTATTATATTATTATTACTATATATAGTTATAATATTGTATATAAACCTTAATTCAAGTAGAGAGGGAGCAATATATATACTCGCCTTCGCTCTTCCTAAGTTTGATTTCTTTCTCTATAGTTCTCTAGTATACTAGACTACTATCTACTATATAATCTACTATATAATCTACTATACAATCTACTATATACTCTACTATATACTTACCTCTTATATACTACTAACATTAAAAAAAAGTTATTATTTATTATTCTATTAGTCTTTATATATAAAATATCTTATAGCTAGAACAATTATAAATCTTAATAATTGTCTTAAACTGTAAAACATGGCTCCTAAATTTAATTTTAATACCCCGGACGCTAAATTACCGGCACTTAAACACGCGCCGCCTCCGATTAGGGAACGGCTTTTTACTTATACTTTAGATCCCTATATTGAAAATAAAGTACGGACTTTTACAATTTCTTGTACTACGTGTAATTATATCTATAGGAATAGAACCTGGCCTTTTAATACGAGTAATCTATATAACCACTATAGTTAAAAACATAAAGATATAGTCACGTCTAAGGATTCCGATTATAATAGCGATAGTAACGATAATAATACTTTAAATAATAGTCAGACAACTTTAGATAAGCATCTAAGTATAGAGACAGTACCTAATCTTAGAAAGCGAAAAAGTTATAGTTTATTTAATACCGACGAATTTACGAGATTACTATTACTATTCATAATTAATAATAACGAGCCGTTTACTATAGTTCAAAGTGAGAGCTTTTTTAACTTGCTAAATTATTTAAATAGTGAAATAGACGAGTTACCTTCTAGATATCTTATTACTAAAGCTTTTAATACTTTTTATAATAACGAAATTGAGAAATATATACGAATTGTAAATAAAAATACTAGTAGATTCTCGTTAACCTTCGACGAATGGAACTCTCCTAATAATAGTAACGATTATCTAGGTATTACCTTACATTTTATAAATAAAAGATTTAAATTAGAGAGTTATTTAATCGGATTCGAAGTATTGAATAGCGCTACGTCCTATAGCGGAGATTTTCTATTTAAAGAATTAGATGGCCTACTTCAACAATATAGTATTAGAAATAGAATTCTAGGAGTAACTAGAGATAACGCTAGCCCTATTAATACCTTAGTTTCACAAATTAAATCCGAATATAAACAGCAATGGGGTAATTATATCGTAGATATAAGGTGCGTAGCACATATTATTAATTTAATAAGTAACTCTATTCTATTATATTGCTTTTTTATACCTAATACAAGCAAAGTCTTTATAAATACTATAGATAATATAGTTAGAAATAATCCTACTTATTCTTTTACTTCTAGTATGAAAATACTACCTAGTAACTTACGAAAGATTATTAGGGCTTTTAAAACAAATCACTTTCTAAAAAACACTTTTAGTCGAGTAGTAAAAGAGAATAAAAAGCTATATAATACTAAAGGAGGTTCCGAGAAGCTTAAAGGCGATAATGTTACTAGATGGCTAGATGGCTATCTAAATATAATATGATTACTAGTGTAATATATCATTTTAGTGAAATTAATAAAGTCTTAGATACCGCTAGTAGATTACCTAATAAACAGAGACGTAGCTTGAATATAGATAATTTTACTATTAGTAACGAAGAGTTCGACTATCTTATTATATTAAGAGATATTCTAGAGATATTTAAACATCCTACTAAGCTATTTCAGGCCCGAGACTACGAGACTATATCAAAGACTATATTAGAAATATTTAAAATTATAAGGAGTTTAGAAAAGACCTTAGAAAATCCTAGTATTAAAGCTAATCCGTTTCTAAAATACGGGGTAGAACAGGCTATTACAAAAGCCTTAGAGTATTATCCTATTGTAAGAACCTAAGCAAGTAAAGTCTCCTGTCCTGCCTTAGCAAGCCTATATAACAATTATGTGATGTTATTACGTGCAGTACGATGCAGCCGCGCTGGCGATAAGCTTGCTTAGCGTATGCGCGTAATGCTCGATTACTCGTACGGACATACTCGGTAGCCGGTACGGCAGATATGCTATCCGTGCTAGGCCTAGTTAATAGTAGTCGCTCTACCCTGTTCTAAGAAAGGTACGGTTTAGTTCTACTTTCTACTACGGCGATTAGTAGAGGGTGTTCTATACGTTGCTATATACCTATTTTCTTACAGTTCTAAACCGTCTACCCTTCGTAGCGGCCTATAGAACCCCGAAAGATAAACGCAAGCGATCCGAACGCGCCGGGCGCGGGAAACGCGTAGAATAATGCATTAGGAGCGCCTATAGCATTAGAAAACGACGCGGCGATATAATAATACGAGGCCGAATATTAGGCGCGCCGGGAAGCGACCCGCCTACGGCTCGAACGATTTCTAGCTAAGTAAGAAGTGCTTAGGCTAGAAGTCTAGGCTTAAGAAGCTAAGCGAGAGAATGCGCGTCTTCGTGCCCTTAGGGACGTAGGCGATGCGCTAGCTCCGAGTAGCGGTACCGCCGGCGAGGGTCCTACGATAACCCTACCCCTAGGCGACGACGACGATAAGGACGAGGAAGAATTAGCTAACGAGTCGATTTAGAGGCCTGAATCTTAGAGAGCTGAATCTATCTCGTATCGACTACCTCTTTCCGGAAGTGCGCTAAGCGTAGCCCCTATACCTAGCATAAGCTACGCAGTCGCTAGTCTTGCGGCTATTAAGCCTCGCCTAAAGGAACCTAAGCCCTTTAAAGGCGATACGATTAAGGAGTCGAGGCGATTCCTTAGAGAACTTTCTATTACCTTTGTACTATCCGGAGCTACCTATTATACGGACGAGAGCAAGGTGCTTTATAGTGTTATATACCTCGTAGGCGATGCGTAGGAGCGATAGCATAATAAAAACAGCCTTAAGGACCTACAGAATTATACCTACTAGGACTTTAAAACCTTCTATCGGGACTGCGTCGGGGACCCTATAAACCGTATACTAGACGTAACCCTCGAGTATAAGGCGGCCCGTTAGCGTAAGGGACAGTTAGTCTAAAGCTTTGCCCTTAAGCTCGCAGTACTCGAAGATTAACTTAGCGACTATAGCGAGGAGTATAGGATCCGCTATCTCCTCGTTAAACTCTAGCCGGCGATTCGTAGCGCGATTATTAAATACTATACGGTGCTAACGACGCGTTACGAACTCGTAGAGCTTGCGACGTATATCGAGACCCCTAACAAGCCGTCTAGCAAACGCAAGGATCGTAACTACGATAAAACCGGAGGTAGTAAAGGTAAGAAGCGTCGATCTAATAGTTAGGCCCGCAAGTAGCAGTTAAATCGCGACCGTAGCGTAGGCGGAAAGTATACGAAGGGCGATAACTCGCAAGGCGGGTATAATATTAGTAAGGTCGAGTGTTATAGCTGTCGCTAGAAAGGCTATTATAAGAACGCGTGCCCGAACCGCTATCTCTAGAAAGACGATAACCCTACGGTACGTAAGGTAGCCGCTAACGCTAAAGAGAAGAAGAACGACTCGAAGGCTAAGGGAAAAGATAAGGTACCTCCTAAGAGCTAGGGATAGGTACGGAATCTCAACTAAGTAGCTTAGTAGTAGTAGTACCTACGGGACGCGTACGCGGAGCAATCGTTACGCAAGAAGGGGAAGTGTCCGTCGAATACTTATTAGATAATGCTACTAATATCAATGTAGTATCTTAAGAATTCATTCTACGATACTAGCCTTAGCGGATTGTTAATGCCGTACTGCCTAGTACCGACAGTTTCTAGGGCGACCGAGGATACTACTACGGAGCGCATTATCTACGCTTACGGATCGCCGACTCTATAGGCTAAGAACGCATTACTACCGGAGTGTTCTACGCTTTCGAGATGCCCCTCCCTAATATTATTCTTAGTAGGCCTTAGAGGCGCGATTAAAAGGTAATCGTCGATAGCTCGACGGATACCTAGACCTATAGGAACGAAGCCGTAGCGCGTTCGATACGCGTACGGGAACTATAGGAATTCTAGAAGGATATGCGTAACGCCCTATACGTATATGCGATTAGCGTTCGCTAGCTCCGCGATATCGCTAAAGGTTCCTCCTTACTAGAAGAATTCAAAGACTTCGAAGACGTCTTTATAATAACGCCCGAAGCGAGACGTAAGCTCCCCGAAGACGTAGAGTATACGATTGACCTAATCCCCGGAACGAAGCCGCTATACAAACCTCTCTACTATTCTTTAGGAAGAGAGCTTAGCGACCTTCGTAATTACCTAAGCTTAGCCTTAGACAACGATTGGATCTAGCTTAGTATAAGCGAGGCGGGTACGCCGATCCTGTTCGTACTAAAGAAGGATAGCAGTCTAAGACTCTACGTCGATTATAGGGGGCTAAACGAGATTACTATTAAAAATCGTTACCCCCTACCTCTTATTAGCGAAACGCTTAATAGGCTCAAGGACGCCGAATAGTATACGTCCTTAGACCTTTAGGATGTATATTACCGTATCCGTATCAAGCGAGGCGACGAGTAGAAGACTGCGTTCCGTACGCGGTACGGGTACTTCGAGTATAAGGTAATACCTTTTAGGCTTACTAATGCTCCTGCTACGTTTTAAGGATACATTAATAGGGCGTTAGCTAGCCTAGTTAACATTTGCTATATCGTCTACCTTAACGACATTCTTATCTATAGCAAAACGCGAGAGAACTATATACGAGACGTACGCGCTATCCTTACGCGGCTCTAGAAGCTCGCCTTATATACGAACAGAAAGAAATGTTCCTTCTAGAAGAAAGAAGTCGAATTCCTCGGGTTTATCGTTAGTACCGAAGGCGTATCGATAGATTAGCGTAGGGTAAACGCTATTACCGAGTAGCCTCGCCTATTAACGCTAAAGGAGGTTTAATCCTTCCTTAGATTCTATAACTTCTATCGGAGGTTTATTCTAAATTACTCCTAAATCGTTATACTACTAACCGCCCTATCGAAAGGAGCCGTAAATAGCCGAAAGCTAGGGTAGGTCCCGTAGGGCGAAAGCGAGGAGTAAGCGTTCCGCTAGCTAAAGGCTGCCTTTAGCTTAGCCTCGATATTGCGATACTATAATCCTACGAAGCCCCTACGTATCGAGACCGATACCTCTACGTTTGCCTTAGTAGGAATTATATTACAATAGAGCGAAGATAGGAATTGGCACCCTATTGCCTTCTAGTTACGAAAAATGGTCCTAGCCGAGACTAATTATAAGACCTATAACTAGGAGCTCCTAGCGGTTGTCGAGTCCTTTAAGCATTAGCGCCCGTACCTCGACAGCGCCTAGCATACGACCTACGTAGTTATCGACTACGCCAATCTTAAGGGCTTTATAAAGATAAAGTAGCTTATCGGAAGGCAGGCAAGATAGGTAACCTTCCTTATACCTTTTAACTTCACTATTAAATATCGGGCTAGTAAGCGAAATCTAGCCGATGCGCCTTTACGACGCAGCGACTACGAGAGCGAGTCGTAGGCGGTAAACAACCTTCTCCCTATATTGCAGTCGAAACTAGCTCTATAGTTAAATCTGCCCGAGGATATCGAGCCGATTGTAAAACGCATCTCTATTATATATATTAGGATGCGAGACGCTAGTATAGCGCTAGCGGAACGCAAGAGTTTCATTAGCAGTCCCGTAAGAGTAGCGGCTACTATCGTTAGGAATAACGGGCCCTACTACGAGATACCTAATATAATCCTTAGTTTCGTACGCACTCTATAATAGCTAGAGCAAGCGAGAGGAGGAGGCTTATACGAGATAAGCTTACCGTCGGGTAGCTTAGCCTCGTTAAGTAGTTCTAACCTCCCGCCTAGCTATTCTCGTCGTAGTAACCTTATTTACTACGGCGATACGCTATATATCCCTAAGGACTACGTATTGCGTACGCAGCTAATACGTATATACTACGACGACCCTTTAGCTAGACACTTTAGTATAGCTAAGACTATAGACCTAATACGCCGAAAGTACTTCTAGCCGAAGATAGCCGAGGACATTACGGCCTATATCCGCACCTATAGAATTTGTTAACGGTCGAAGGCGAAGCGCTATCGCCTATATAGCGAGCTCGCTACGCTACCTATACTAACCCGACTATAGTAAGAATTAACGATAGACTTTATTACCGATCTCCCGCCGAGTAAGCTCGGTACCTACGTATATACTGCGATCCTCGTAATAGTCGACCGCTATACGAAGATAAGCCTCTTTATCCTAACGACGAAGAAGTATATAGTAGTAGAACTCGCAGATATCCTTCAAAGGGAGGTAATTAGGCGTTTTAGAGTGCTATTAGGCATTATTAGCAATCGTAGATCGCTTTTTACTAGCTAGTTTTAGAGCGACTTCTGCTTCGAAGCGTACGTAAAGCGTAGGCTTAGTATAGCCTTCTATCCTTAGACTAATAGGCAAACCGAACGCGCGAACTAGACCCTCGAGCAATACCTACGATACTATTGCTCCGAGAACTAGGATAATTAGGCTGAATTTTTGCCTTAGGCGGAGTTTGCCTATAATAATAGCGTTTATCCTACATTGCGTATAAGCCCCTTTAAGATGCTCTACGGCTTCAACCCTAATTTAATGCCGAGCGCAAATAAGCTACTAGCTCGGGACGAGCTAACTAAGGGAAGGGCACTAGCAGCTATCGACGCTGTAGAGCGCCTACGGAAAGCGTATAAAACGCTTGCGGAACGCTAGTAGAAAGTAGCAGAATACTAGGCTAAGCAATACAATGTATACTACACTACTAAGACATATAGTATAGGTAACCTAGTCTTGCTATCGATAAAGAACATTAGCTTAGATATCCTAAAGAAGAAACTTAGCCCGAAGTATATAGGGCCTTTTCGTATTATCGACATAGTCGGAGCGTAGGCGTACTACCTAGCACTACCGTTAAGTACGAAGATCTACAATGTTTTCTATATTTCCCTCCTCGAGCCTTAGTATAGGCGCGATAGCGAGGAGTATAAGATAAGTATACCTATCGCTAAAGGTAATAAGTAGCAGGTAGAAACAATCGTAGCAAAGAAGATAAAGAAGCGGAAGGCGTACTACCTTATTAAGTAGCGAGGGTAGCCTAAAGAATACAACACTTAGGAGCTAGCTATTTATATTAAAGATTCTATAGCGTTAGACGAGTTCGAAGCTTAAGCGAAGCGCAAGCGTAGGCAGTAATTAAAACAAAAGAAAATAAAACTTAAGAAAAATAGTAGATACGTGCTCGTTTCGCTACTAAAAAAGGCTATTAGCCTAGTATGTATAAAGAAGGCGCCGCGTAGGCGCGGCGACGGCGGGCCGCCTACTCTACTTATCCTTAGAATCCTCCTTAGACTCCTCCTACTCGATGCCTATAGCGGTATCGATAGCGGCGACGGCGTTAGCGCCGACGCGCTAAGCGAGGTTCTAGTACGGTTAGTATACGAAGCGTAAGTGAAACGAGGCTATAGGAAAAACCATACCTAACGACTAATCTCTACTAAACTAGCTAGGTTAGTGCCGATGTTCTCGAGGGCACTAAGTAGGTTAATATCTATAAGGGACCCGCTAGCGGCCCCCTTACGGGCTAGGGCTTTGCCGCCTAGGGTTACCTTATTCTTATTAATATAGAAGGCGTCGAGCGTAGATAGGATAACTAATATCGAGGTTAGTATACGAAGCGCAAGCGGAGTATATAAGAAACCTACGAGCGACGACGGCGTCTAGATTAGCCTAGAGTGCCTCTAGGGCCTCGTTAGACTCCTCGGGGGAGTCGTAGCCGTCTAGATCGTAAAGGTCGCGCGTAGCGCGCGTAGCGCGGATGCGGGCTAGCAGCGATACTAGCGCGCGTACCGTAATAGGCGTATAGGTATAATAGCTACTACGGTAGCGATTATAGTTGCGCTTAGTAGCAGGGTCTATATTGCCGCCTACGTAGAGCTTAGATAGGTTATTTAAAGCGAGTTAGTTGCGAAGCGTATACGCGTAGCAAGGGGCGAGAAAACGTACTATTAGCCGTTATATGCCTAAAGCAACGAGTGCAGCCCTCTAGGACTTTTAGTAGGCGCTAGGTAGGCGTAGTAGGTATCGAGGGCGGTGCGCCTACGGCGCGCTTACCTAAGGTACGCGAAGGAGTAGCTATACTAGTAATATTTTTTTAGATAGATGTTCAAAAAAGAAAAATCTTTAAGTAATACTAGGGGGGCGTAAGGGAGGAGTAGGCGGGGGGTAGGCGGGTAGTGTTCGGAGCGCTTAGAAAAAGAAGAAGTTTTCAAGCGGGCTTCGAATGCTTTAAATACTTGCCTCGCTTTCGGACAGCTTACGTTCTCGCGTAGCTACCGCGTTCTTAGAAATTTAGGCAACCTCTAGTTAGTGCTAGAAGCAGCCGCGCTTTAAATCTATAAACAAACAAGCAACTACGAGGCAAATTATAACGTGCCTAGCAACTATAGCCTAGCGATAGGTGCGTATAAGACGCGCAAGTGTAGTATAGAGTATAAGAAATAGTATAATTTACTATATTGCCCTATAGCTAAGACAGCTATACCGGGGGAAGGAGATAATTGTAAGAACCTAAGTAAGTGAAGTCTCCTATCCTACCTTAGTAAGCCTATATAACAATTATATAATGTTATTACGTATAGTACGATATAGCCGCGCTAGCGATAAGCTTGCTTAGCGCATACGCGTAATACTCGATCACTCGTACGGACATACTCGGTAGCCGGCACGGTAGATATACTATCCGTGCTAGGCCTAGTTAATAGTAGTCGCTCTACCCTGTTCTAAGAAAGGCACGGTTTAGTTCTACTTTCTACTACAGCGATTAGTAGAGGGTGTTCTATACGT